TCCCTACACAGTTGTGCAAATGACCAAAAGGAGGCATAAGCTCCCCTTCCTCCATTCCACTTAGCAGCCAGCAAGGCTTATCCGAATAATGAATAATGGCATGGATGGGTAGGTAAACTACATCTGCATGCCTAATGCTCTCTCTCAGCAGTACAAATAAGAGAAAGGCAGAGATCAGACATCCATGACTCCACCTCCTATCCCTTACCCTTTAGAGACAACTGGACAGGGGTAGGAGTGGGCCGTGCCTGGTAATAAGACAGCATGACAAGGCATTAGCTGCAGTGATTAGCTGAAGCAAGATTTGGTCATCGAAAATCCACAAGGTAGAAACCAAGCCACGAAACTTCAGCTCCGGTGCTATTTCTACCTTAATGTGGATCTGAAGGCTAAGTAGTCCACCAAAGGTACAGACAGGCCTCTAAACTGTTTGAAAGCAAGTGCCTCAGGAGAATACTAGGTTTTACATAGAAAGCTGAGATTTGTCAGGACTCAACATCTCCTCCAAAATTATCAAGAAGAAATGGAAATATCTCCCAACCCATAAAAAATGAAGCCAGAATATTTGCCATGGCATGTGTAGTATGGGGTACCTAGAGAGCAGCATGTAAAAAACAACTGGAAGATTCCTTTGGTTCAGTAGTACTTACTACAGAGGTGGTTGTGGTATGCCAAAAGTAGGCACCAGCCTTTACATGGGAATTACAAGAAAATCTCCATCGGAGTTCTAAGAAATATTTTTTCTAATCCTGCTTTTACAGTGATATGGCATCATATCCAAGAATATAAATGAAAAAATATATAAATAAATTAAGCCCGAAAATACATTGAAATTTGTGCCCATATTTCAAACCATAAAGACCCAAAGTAGAATGAACTATAGATGTGAGCTTAATAACTATTTTCATTCTATGGGTATGATAAACAAAAAAATTATAAGGCTTTTAAAAATTATTTACACATCACTCAATATATTCAACCAAAACTTTACTTACGTGTGAATTTGGACCGCCGCCCACCCAACCCACACTGTCGTACTTTGCCCCCACGAAAGAGTCCATAGTAAATATCTCCAATGAACTTGACTAGTTCTGGATCTGTGGCATTGACCAAGTCAGCTCCTGTTTTACAAAGAATTTTTCCAGTTATCCACTTTTGGGTTCCCATCGCAACAACAATCAAGATAAAAGACACAAAGCTCATTGCAGAAGCCAGTGCAAACAATGTCTTTTTAAAGCAGCCAGGCATCTTAGTAGTTTCAAGGAATCCTCTCCAAGGCCTCTCTGCAGTAACTAGATATATTTTCCATTTTTCTGATGCTTAGAAATCCACAAGTGGGACGCAAATTCTTCAAAACATAGACTTTTATATCTCATTGCATTTTTAAACTCCAGAGGCTAAACTGAATGGTTAAAAATCAAGCCCGAAATGTAGATTTGCTGCGACAACATCCTGAAATGGTTGCAAAGGAGAACTTCATTACACTGTAGTGCAGTGGAGCTTGTCTCTGCAGAAAGTAATCCTATATCTATTGCACGACTATTGTTTCATCAGAGGTTTAATTGACATACTCAAATGACATCTATTTCTTTACCATAATCACATAGAAGAAACTTAGATGAAGGATCCAGTTTTTTTAGATTGCTATGACATTTTAAATATTTGTGGGCAAGGGACACAGCATGTAAAAAATATATTATTGGCACCTGAATTCTGCTGCCATCTCAGCTGTATCAAATTACTTTTTCCTGGTGCTTGCCATGGTGCTTCTTTTTCTAAATGTCAGCACTGTCCCTGCTATCAGAACTGTTCATAAACTAGAAAATGATAACCCATTCTCCGAGCTTGGTAATTGAAGTATATAAATAGTGTTTGATGCTGCACAGACTTGTTATTAGATTAATCTTTGGAATATAAAATGAGATGCAAAACAATTCTTTATGCTTGAAAAAAGACAAATGCCAACATTCTTTTTAATATATTTTAGCAATGGAGCTAATGCAGGCACATACAGAAACAGACACAACAGGCTAAAAGTGCTATCAGATAGGACTGAAAAGCGACAATAGTTTGCACTACTTTACTGCCTTTCACTCAAGGACTGTGAAGCTCTTTACAACTATTAATTAATTAATTCTCACAACATCCTTCTGAAGTAGGTAACCCAACACCCTACTGACTGCAGCCCAAACAAGTTGTGGAAACACACTATTACTAAGGTGGTGTCTTTTGGATGAGATGTAAAACAAAGTCTTCACGGTCAGCGGAGGTCTCAAAGCACTACAGATTTCAATAGTTACGTAGTTATGTTTTAACCTTTATGTCCATATTGTTATACTGTGTCCATGACCATGGAATATAAGCACTCTAAAAATGTATTAGACATTTCAGACACAATACAAAATGTACTTAAGGCATGGCAGCGCCTTAAATTTAGGGGCTTTATGTCTAGAGTTTGATGCAAATTGACAAGCTTACACAACTAAGCTTTATATACAGTGAATGGGAGACCTAGAGCATGGACACACATATTTGGAGCAGCTTCAAAAGAGGAACATTTCAAAGGGGCAGCAGCTGTTAAGTTTTAATTGTTACTTGTGGACAAATTGGGAAATACAAACCTCCAATTTTAACACTGCTTCATCGAGGGTTAAAGCTGGAGCGCTTTGGCTATGAAGTGTTCCAAATGTAAATCTGGCCATACCCCTAGATGCCTTCCAAGGATAATCCAGACCATGTAATTTGGGACCTACCTAAATCATGGCAAGACAAAGAGGTTTTTGCAACCCACTCATGGTGCACAGAGCTGATATTGTGGGTATTTTGTGGCAGCCCAGCCCTTTGGTGCTGATTGGTGGAGAGGCCCCACCCCTCGGTGCTGATTGGGGGAGGAGGGGTGAGGAGGCAGCTGCCATTTTGATTGCTGGATGTCCTTTGTGCGGCCCCGCCCCTAGGCACTGATTGGCGGAGAGGACCCAGAGGGAGGAGAGATGAGGGGGCAGCTGCTATCTTGTCTGCTGCCCTTTGTGTCACCCTGCCAGTGAGTACCTTTCCCTCCTGGCAGCAAGGACTGCTGGCTCCCACTGGAGAGCCAGCATTATATTCTTACTTTTTTTGTTGATTTTGCGGACAATCCAAGATTTCAGTTTCCATGAAATCCACAAAACCTCACAGCAGGTAGGTCCCTACACATAGTCATTCGGCACAGAGGTGCTTACAGCTGGCCAATAGGAAATCCTAGGCAGAGTGGCGTGTCTGAATTCCCATTTATCCTCAGAGTTTAGACACCTGACTCAGGGTGCAAGGGAAGTGTTTTGGTCATCTCAGGATATAGACTGTCCAGCAGGGAGACACCTGCCTGGACCAAGACCCCTAACTGACAGCTGCACTGACCTCAAGAATGTGCACAGCATGACATGTAGGGCAGGGGTGTCAAACTCTCTTTCTGCTCCAGGTCAGATCCGGACTGTGAGGCTCCTTGCAGGCTAGATCTGCAAGGGGCTCCGGCTCCATACATGCAGCTGTGGCTGTAGCTCCTGCTGTATATCACATACCACATGCTGGAGTCAGAGCTGCTGCTGCTACCATGTACCTCATGATGCACCAAGAGCTCCAGCTCTGGCACAGGGCACATGGCAGTGACAGCTCCTGCATGAGGTATGCTGCAGCAGTCTAAGGGCCAGTGACTGAGGATATGGCCACAGCAGTAGCAATGGGTGAAGTGAACGGAAGGCCATTGGGGCTGTTTCAGCCCTCACTCACTCTTCTGCCAAACTGGCATATCCACTGGGGCTCAAGGTCCCCAGATTCTGCAGCAGGCCACTCCTCCCTGGCCATGCCCTACAACTTCTGGCTGCCCACTTGGTAGCCTGCTGGCTCTGATAAAAGGGCTCTACAGACCATGTTAGATACCTCTGCCCTAGGTCCTCTTCCCCCTGAGCAGGGCCAAACCCATATCTTCCGATTCCCAGGAGAGCACCCTAACCACCAAGCTATAATCTAGTGTGGCATGGAAACCTGGCTTCAACGTTATTGTCAAGATAAATTTGCACCTTTATAGACCAACTCAGGGGTGTCACAGATCCAGGCCCTGGGCCCTATCATCTGGTCTTGGGTGCTGCCCATGGGTCTGGGCATAGGCAACTGGTAGGGAGGGCATGGGGGGGGGGGGGCACATGCCCCCCCTGACGGGGCCATCCCCACCTCCACCACCGCTGGCATCTGCAAGTCATCCCTGCCACCGCTGGCATCTGCAAGTGCTCAAAGTAAACCTGACAGGGCTGTCCCTGCAAGTGGCATCTGCAGATGCTCGCCAGATCCACCCCTGCCACTGCCGGAGGTGTCTGCAGGACCTTGCCAGCTCCGCCCCTGCCACTGCTGGAGGCATCTGCAGGAGCTCACCAGCTCTGCTGACGCCGCCCCAGACTCAGGAGGCACCAGTTGCCCATGGGTCTGGGAGTGGACCCACGTGTCACTGTGGCGTGTGAGGGACCAGCCCTGCATGCCGCACAGGGAGTGGGGGCTGGTGTGGGGTGCACCCTGATGGCTGCACTCTGGGCCGGTCCTAGGCACACAATGCCAGCTGCATTTGGGTGTACTCTGAGGACCCAAACTGGCCTGTGGATCAGCTCAGTGCCTGATCTAGCCATGGATCAGACCTCACTCACCCTCTTGCCACAGACAGCCACATTTTTGGTTTTTTTTTTTAAAGGAAAATTTTTCGTGTCCTAGGTCAAATTAGCCAGATCAGGTCCAAATCTGTTTGACTCATTCAAGAACCATATGTGGCTCTGATACTGGCAAGTGTCATCCACTCCAGCCAGGGGCTTCAGAAACCTCCAAATCCTTTGTCAGGAGTCCTATGTGCAAGCCCAAGTGCAGAAGCTTGAGGTTTAGATGCCCCTAAGCCTCGTTTGCCCTCCACCGTATGGCTCCAAGAGCAAGCTAGAGAGGAGTCTCCCATTTCCATACAGTCCATGTGCAGTCGAGATCCCCCCGCTGTAAGTTGGCCAGTGGTACGCTAACTATGAAGCTCTGTAGGGAGTCCTGCCTGCAAGCAAACAAGGGTGCAACCCTCCACTACCCAGTGCCATGTTAATTGTGTTACCTCGGTCAAAGCAGTTTCCTTACCACCATCATGGTCATGGTATTTCTCCTGCCACATCCTCTCTCTTTTTTTTTTATTTTTTAGGAAAATTTTTCATGTCCCAAGTCAAATCAGCCAAATCAACTCCAGATCCCCGAGTCATTCAAGACCCACATGTGGCCCTGCTAATGGCAAGCATCCTCCACCCCCGCCTGGGGCTTCAGATGCTTCCAAACCCTTTGGCGGACATCCTACTGGCGGGCCCGGGCCCAGGCCCTGAGGCTCGGGGTTCGGTAGCCCCCAGGTTTCGCTTGCCCTCAGCCATCCCGCCGCAGAAGCAAGCTAGGGAGCAACCTCCCATTTTCACAAAGCGGGCTTTAAGCCCCAGC